CAGAGGGAGACCAGAGAGAGACCAGAGAGAGACCAGAGGGAGAGACCAGAGGGAGAGACCAGAGGGAGACCAGAGAGAGACCAGAGAGAGACCAGAGGGAGAGACCAGAGAGAGACCAGAGAGAGACCAGAGAGAGACCAGAATCAGGTTGTATTGTATTTTTGCAGGAATCTTTGTCACCACATAACAAAAATTGTCCAAAACACAAAACAAAATAATAATAATAATTTTCGGAATGGTTTGTGGGCGCTGCGTAGGAACAGTGTATGTGTGTGTGTGTGCGCGTGCGTGTGTGTGTGTGCGTGTGTGTGTGTGCGTGTGTGTGTGTGTGTGTGTGTGTGTGTGAGTCATCATGTGAATCTGATCTCAATGTTTGTCAGAAAATATTCTTTGAAAAATGAATACTTTTTGAGCGGAACCAGCACCAGAACCTGGACCTGAGACTGAACCGCAGAGGTGTGCGTTTTGTGCAGAGACTGGATCTGTTTGAGTCACTTCTCTCAGAGTCGTGGGTCACAGTCTCTGCACAGACTGAATATTCTCTGAGTTAAAGAAGAAGTGAGAAAGTGAAATCTGAAAAGCTCTGAGTGCATTTATTAAAGAACAGTTTAATATTATGACCTGTAACCACAAAGGAAAAGGCAGAAGCCAGATCCTGTCAGAGAATCTAAGCATAGCAGGACCTGGTTAGTACTGTGATGGGAGACCTCTGGGAACACCAGGTGCCACAGTGGGGCGGCTGCGGCTGTAAAGTGCCAAACTGTGGTTGTGTCCTTAGGCAAGACACTTCACCCCCATTAGAATGAGTCTGGTGTGTGTGTGAATGGTTGGTGGTGGTGGGAGGGGCCGATGGCACAGACTGGTTGCCTCGCTTCTATCTGTGTGCCCCAGGGCAGCTGTGGCTCCAGGAGTAGTTTATCACCACATAATAACATGTGAGGCATCTTTGAGAGACCTGAAAAGTTCTGTATAAAACCAATGGGAATTTGCTCTGGCTCATGGTAAAAACCTATGGTCTCTCTCGCTCTGCTCTCTCTCTCTGGTCTCTCGCTCTGCTCTCTCTCTCTCTGGTCTCTCTCTCTCTGGTCTCTCGCTCTGCTCTCTTTCTCTGGTCTCTCTCGCTCTGCTCTCTCTCTGGTCTCTCTTGCTCTGCTCTCTCTCTCTCTGGTCTCTCGCTCTGCTCTCTCTCTGGTCTCTCTTGCTCTGCTCTCTCTCTCTCTGGTCTCTCGCTCTGCTCTCTCTCTGGCCTCTCTCGCTCTGGTCTCTCTCTCTCTCTGGTCTCTCGCTCTGCTCTCTCTCTGCTCTCTCTCTCTCTGGTCTCTCTCGCGCTGGTCTCTCGCTCTGCTCTCTCTCTCTCTGGTCTCTCGCTCTGCTCTCTCTCTGGCCTCTCTCGCTCTGGTCTCTCTCTCTCTCTGGTCTCTCGCTCTGCTCTCTCTCTGGCCTCTCTCGCTCTGCTCTCTCTCTGCTCTCTCTCTCTCTGGTCTCTCGCTCTGCTCTCTCTCTCTCTGGTGTCTCTCGCGCTGGTCTCTCGCTCTGCTCTCTCTCTCTGGTCTCTCTCGCTCTGCTCTCTCTCTCTCTTGTCTCTCTCTGGTCTCTCTCTCTCTGGTCTCCCTCTCTCTGGTCTCTCTCTCTGGTCTCTCTCGCTCTGCTCTCTCTCTCTCTTGTCTCTCTCTCTGGTCTCTCTCTCTCTGGTCTCCCTCTCTCTGGTCTCTCTCTCTGGTCTCTCTCTCTCTGGTCTCTCTCTCTCTGGTCTCTCTCTCTCTGGTCTCTCGCTCTGCTCTCTCTCTCTCTGGTCTCTCTCGCTCTGCTCTCTCTCTCTCTGGTCTCTCTCGCTCTGCTCTCTCTCTCTCTTGTCTCTCTCTGGTCCCTCTCTCTCTGGTCTCCCTCTCTCTGGTCTCTCTCGCTCTGCTCTCTCTCTCTCTTGTCTCTCTCTCTCTGGTCTCTCTCTCTCTGGTCTCCCTCTCTCTGGTCTCTCTCTCTGGTCTCTCTCGCTCTGCTCTCTCTCGCTCTGCTCTCTCTCTCTGGTCTCTCTCTCTCTGGTCTCTCTCTCTCTGGTCTCTCTCTCTCTGGTCTCCCTCTCTCTGGTCTCTCTCTCTGGTCTCTCTCGCTCTGCTCTCTCTCGCTCTGCTCTCTCTCGCTCTGCTCTCTCTCTCTGGTCTCTCTCTCTCTGGTCTCTCTCTCTGGTCTCTCTCTCTGGTCTCTTTCTCCCTGGTCTCTCTCTCTGGTCTCTCAGTAAATCACATCAACAGTCGTCTTGGAGAACTTTACAAAGTTGTGGATTCGCCAACAACAGATCAAAGAATCAGTTCAAACTCAGGAGATAAACGTAGACTCCCTCTCCCTCTCTGGTCCTGTCGTTGTCAGATCATCTGCTTGTGGATAAACAGGTATGACCTACTTTTAATTCATGAATTTAAACCGTTTCCATGGCGACGCAGCACGCTCTCCGATAGCTCAGGTGCACTCTAATGTTAGTCCAGGACAAGGGGGACCAGCGGAGAGACGAGGATCACAGGCCTCTGGAGACCGAGATGGTTCAGACTCAGCTCTGACTGTGCCGTGTCGACCCGGGACCACGGTGGGAAAGGTAGGCGTGTTGTTTGGACCCATGATGGCGTTTTATCACAAAAGGGTTAGAACAAAACCTTCAAGATACTGTAAGTCTTTTAAAGTTGTTGTGTGAGTACAGGAGCAGAGACAGACCAGAGAGACACCATAGACAGAGACCAGAGAGAAAGACCAGAGAGAGAGACCAGAGAGAGACCAGAGAGAGAGACCATAGACAGAGACCAGAGAGAAAGAGTAGAGAGAGAGAGCAGAGAGAGACCAGAGAGAGGGACCAGAGAGAAAGACCAGACAGACACCAGAGAAAAAGACCAGGGAGACAGACCAAAGAGAGAGACCATGCAGAGAGAGAGACCAGAGACAGACCAAAGAGAGAGACCAGAGAGCAAGACCAGGGTGAAAGAGCAGAGAGAGCAGTGAGAGACCAGAGAGAGAACACAAGTGACATGTTCTGTTCTGGCCAGCTCTGGTCTCTCTTTGGTCACCCTCTCTCCCTCTCAGGTCTCTTTCTCTCTGGTCTCTCTCTGGTCTCTCTCTAATCTCTCTCTCTGGTCTCTCCGTGGTCTCTCTCTGGTCCCTCTCTGGTCTCTCTCTATTCTCTCTCCGGTCTCTCTCTGGTCTCTCTCTGGTCTCTCTCTTGTCTCTCTCTCTGGTCTCTCTCTATTCTCTCTCTGGTCTCTCTCTGGTCCCTGGTGTCTGACATACTAATTCTAACCTGATGCATAATCCGTTGTGGACATTAGATGCTAAGCTCATCACTGATGGTGTGATGAGACTGCTAAAGAGTCAATCAGAGGAGAGACTCACTGTTCTGATTCTACAAACACCAGGAACACTTCATAGATTACAAATTAGAACCATAAATCTGGGATTTTAGAACAGGACATCCAGGTGATGGTCCATGTTCAGTCCACTTTGATACTGGTGTTTGTATTTCTCTGTCTGTCTCTCTCTCTCTCTCTGATATCTCTCTCTTTGGTCTCTTTCTGGTCTTGCTCTGGTCTCTCTCTCTCTCTCTCTCTCTCGCTCTGCTTTCTCTCTTGCATCTTTCTGGTCCTCTCTGGTCTCTCTCATCTTTTTCTCTCTCCTCTCTAGCTCCCCTCTCACCTCTCTCTACTCTCTCTCCTTTCCCCCCCCTCTCCTCTCTCTCTCCCCCCTCTCTCCCCTCCTCTCCTCTCTTTCCTCTCTCTCTCCCCTCTCTCCTCTCTCCTTTTTCTCCCCTCTCCTCTCTCTCTCCCCCCTCTCTCCCCTCCTCTCCTCTATTTTCTCTCTCTCTCTCCTCTCTCTCTCTCTCTCTCTCTCTCTCTTCCTCTCTCTCCCCCCTCTCCTCTCTCTCCTCTCTCTCTCCTCTCTCCTCTCTTTCCTCTCTCTCCCCCCCCTCTTCTCTCTCCTCTCCCCTCCTCTCTCTCTCTTTTCTCTCTCCTCTCTCTCTCCCCCCTCTCTCTCCTCCTCTCCTCTCTCCTCTCTTTTCTCTCTCTCTCCCCTCTCCTTTCTCTTCTCTCCTCTCTCCTCTCTCCTCTCTTTTCTCTCTCCTCTCTCTCTCCCCTCCTCTCCTCTCTCCTCTCTTTTCTCTCTCTCCCCTCCTCTCCTCTCTCCTCTCTTTTCTCTCTCTCCTCTCTCCTCTCTTTTACTCCTCTTTCTGTTGTTTTCTTTGAGCTGCTTCAGTCCAATATTACATCTGAGCTAAAATAGAGTCGGCTGAAGTCACTAAGTGGTCTCTCCCCCTTCATGAAATAACATCTAGTGTAATAAAAGACTATAAGACACACACACACAGCTCACACACACACACACACACACACACGCACACAGCTCACACACACACACACACACACACACACACATTTATTCACTGATGCCGTCAGTAACTAAGGCACAAATGTAGCTGTAGAAAAGAAACTTGTTGATAATTGGCAATTCTATATTTGTATCTTTATTTATGACTGTGAATTATTTCAGTCCAGAAGATTCTATTGTGTTACTTCATCATTATATGTACAGCATCAAATTATATGTCTGTATGTACTGAGACAGAGGTCTGGTCCCTCCTTCAGGTCTCTCTCTGGTCTCTCTCTGGTCTCTCTCTCTCTCTCTCTCTCTCTCTGGTCTCTCTCTGGTCTCTCTCTGGTCTCTCTCTCTCTCTCTCTCTCTCTCTCTCTGGTCTCTCTCTGGTCTCTCTCTGGTCCCTCTCTCTAGTCTCTTTCTCTCTGGTCTCTCTCTTGTCTCTCTCTGGTCTTTCTTTCTGGTCTCTCTCTCTGGTCTCTCTCTCGTCTTTCTCTCTGGTCTCTCTCTGGTCTCTCTCTGGTCTCTCTCTGGTCTCTCTCTCTCTCTGGTCTCAGGTCTTTCTCTTGTCTCACAGAGTAATGCAGCGACAGCAGTGACTCATCCTGGTCCTTCAGTGTGTGTGAACTGGTACACAGCACTTTCAACCTAATTTAATTGTTTAGCGCAAAGGGACCATGTGTTTTGTCAACACATCTGTGGTCGGCCTCATTGGCACCAACACACTCCACCACCCCGGACTCCACCACCCCGGACTCCACCACCTCGGACTCCACCACCTCGGACTCCACCACCCCGGACTCCACCACCCCGGACTCCACCACCCCGGACTCCACCACCTCGGACTCCACCACCTTGGACTCCACCACCTCGGACTCCACCACCTCGGACTCCACCACCTCGGACTCCACCACCTCGGACTCCACCACCCCGGACTCCACCACCCCGGACTCCACCACCCCGGACTCCTTCAGCCCGGACTCCACCATGGTTGTGGTGGGAGGGAAACTGGATTAAACCAACGCAGACATGGGGAGAACATGCAAACTCCACATTGAAAGGAACAGGACTCGACCCCAACTGTATGTGATTAAAAATATTATAATAATTTGTCAGGTCACATGGTATTCTTTCTCTTCATGCACAGTGGTGATAAACTATTGTGCCACAGCTGCCCTGGGGCACACTGACAGAAGTGTTAGTATTAGATAGCAATATGGCCTACGTGCAGGACTGTACAAGGACTCTACAAGGACTCCATGTTATGACTATGATGTGACTGTCTCTTTGTGACACGTATGTCTTTCGATGTGTGACGTGACAATGACTATATAAACTGTGTACTGCCTTTATTCTGTCTGAGGGAAAGAAACAGAGTAAACTAGTGGAACTTGAGAGAAACTTAAATAAACTTCCAGAGTTTGGCACACCACGATCCGTCTCTGTCTGCTTAAATCCCTACAGATTTGGTGGAGAATGCGCGGCTCGGTTTGTGCCATTCTCTGGATTGTTTTGGGGGAGTTTTGCTCTGTTTCTTTTCCTCTGCGTGAGAGATCGGCATGCTGTGTCTGGGAGCGGAGATTCCAGCAGGCTGGAAGAGCTGTTCCTGGATGCTTCTTGTCGCTTCTGTCACTTTTGTTTTTTTAAATTGAAGATTCCGACGCGGAAAAGAGTTGGCAGACCTCTCGGACAGCCCGTGCGCACCTCTTTGACAAGAATAAGGTAAGCAGACACCTTTTTAAATGTAAAGTCTGCATAATTGGATACTAGCTAAATTTGGGTGTGTTTTTGAGGTCTGTCGAACTCTCTAAATTGTGTTCAAATAAGTGAGGATCCATAAGTGAAAAGGCCATAAAGTGAGTGAAGGATCCATAAGTGAAAAGGCCATAAAGTGAGTGAAGGATCCATAAGTGAAAAGGCCATAAAGTGAGTGAAGGATCCATAAGTGAAAAGGCCATAAAGTGTATAGGATCCAAAAAGTGTTGGCCATAAAGTGTATAGGATCCATAAGTGAAAAGGCCTAAGTGAAACCATGGTGTAAACATAAAAGTTATTATAAAAAGGGAAACGTGTTAAGGAGGCCTTTGTTACAAAAGCTTTGAAATTGACGAATTTCAGGCTGATAAATGACAAAAGTAAAGAAGCAACAATATTTCAGTGATCACGGTTTAAATTACATACAGAAAAGGGAGTTTTTGTTTTTTGGAGTGAACAGAGTTCACCGGAGAATACAGAGTTTTATCTAAAGTTGAGCTATGAGAGCTTTCGTGAGTTATTTACATTTTTTTGCCGAGTTTTATCTACAGTTGAGCTATGAGAGGGTTGTATCCAACAGTTGTTTTTGTTTTTTAGAAAGAGATTTTAAGTTTAAATTAGTTTGCTACCTCGATAAAATAGAAGCGTAAACGTCAAAGACAAGAGTGCCTTTTGTTACAAGTGTGGAAAGTGATCACTTCTAGATTTGAATGACAAAAGTATAAAGAACAACATCAGTTATATTCGCTTAACAAAGTAATCTTGAAAGTTATTCTTCTGTATCTTTCTGCCTGTGTGTGCGCGTCTGTGTGAAAGGAACCCCCCCGCCCTCGCTGCTGCTGAGCTGCTGCTCTGATTTAAAGGGGAGCTACTGCTTTAGGAATTTGGCTTTTCATAGTAGTTATTCCGTTAAATTTGCTAAATTTGCCATTTGAACATTGTGTTAGACACAGTTAAACGTTTTTAAACACCATTAGGGAATAGAAGTTTTGAATTAGTATGTTTTTGAAACCCAAAGATTAGTACAAAAAGCTTTGCTTTTCTTTTTAAATCTGCTGCTTATTTTGTGAGTCCATTATTGTATCTCTGATATATTTCATAGCTGTTTGTGAGAATTTTTTCATGTATTTTTTATTTTAGTTACAAAAGCCGTTTTTCAAACATTTAAATTAGAATCTGTTAAAAGTGATTAATGATTGTAGACTTCGTCTAAAAAAGAAAGAGGGAATTAGGCTGTAAAAGTATTATATTATTAAGTGAAACTACTATTATATTAAAAAATGACGTGTTCAAAATCCCTTATAAAGATGACCATGATTCAGAAAGTTAAATTCAAAAAGGTTTATTTCCCTAATACAAAAAGAATCTAACACAACGACCTGGACCAACTTTAACTATCCCTTATTCCCTATATAAAGTATAAAGTATGATTTTGGTGGGCGCTCCACGCAAACTCACACTGCTGTCCCTGATCCAGTCTAAAAAACTCTAACTAACACATTCAAGCTATTTCCTTAAGTAAAATGTGCAGGAAGAAGGGGCGTGGTATCAGCCAGCTTCCGGGGTCCCGTGGTCCGCCTCCCTCCATCTGTCTTCTCCCGTCTGCATCTGAAAAAGAATCCATTGCCTCTCTAGCCTAACGTCTCTGGTCCAGCTGTCTCTTAGTCTGAGATCCATCTCTGTGGTCTAAACAAGTGGTAGACTAGCAGGCTCCAGTGTCATCCCACTCCTGATGGAGTGGGTTTAATAATGCAACAGTCAGCCAAAATCCAAACAGAAGAACCCATCTGTCATTTAGCAGGTCCAAGAAGACCCCTAAAATTAACTTAAAAGGACTGGCCTGCCACTCAGAGGTCGATAGACATTCTAAAACACATGGTTTTAGAATGTCTCTTAGTTATAAATACAACATTCCCTCTTTTGGCCGCTATTAGAAAGGCCACACATCTCAATAACCTTCCTCAGGCGACGGGACGGGGGAATCCTCAACCAATGCAAGCATTTGACCTCTCAGTCCAGGGTTAACAGCGGTGTCTATAGCTTTAACAAAAAAGAGAACGTATACAAGGTATACAGCAGCATCCTACAACCATTATTATTGCAAAGATGGCCGCAAGGCTTGTGATAACAGACAAAATTACATGCTTCCACTTCCCCAAGATGCTGTCCAGCCACGCCTCCAGTGGGTTCTCCGGGACTCCAGAAACGTCATGCATTTGCTCTGACAGCATTTTGAGACCAGCCAGAGCTTTGGAAACTGATCCATCTGGATGTGTGTTATTTGGAATGTATACACAACATTCTGTACCAAATAGACTGCAGACCCCACCTTTCTCTGCTAAGAGCATGTCTAGAGCCACTCTGTTTTGAAATGCTACCAGAGAGGTGGCCCCCAGCTGCTCCGCCAATCCCTCTATTGCGTCCCTGGTGTGATTGGCAAGCCTAAGCATAGTATACCAAATGAAATTAATTCTATCTACATTTTTGTTTGGCGTGATAGGGAAAATAGCGGAAATTATGGGAATATTTTCGAAACCTGTTGCAATTTGATCTACCAGTTTGAATTCCTGAGGGACTCCACGTGGAACACCTATAGAGTCCATGTAAGTTGGATTATCTTTCCCAGTATCTAGGAATGGTATTGCTCTTTTAAATCTATGCAGTGGGTGGGGACTGTCTAGGGATGGCTTATGGCCAATTATGGAAATGGGCATCATTAATCGCACCATTGCACAACTGCCTGTAAAATTTTTTATTAGTCTATGTCTAAGTTTTAAATCTCCACACAACCAATACAAATCACCTCTGGTCCGGGTCATGGGGACCGGACTGGGCAAGGTCACGTTGTTGACACACCAGTCTGCTGGAAGGAACCCCCACTGGAGCCGCGGCCTCGTCCCTCCATTGAGTGAGTGGAAACAGGTGTAATTGCTTTTCCTGTGGGAAAACATAGGGGGCTGAATTTCTGAATCCAATTCTGGAAACAATACTTCAAACATTGAACAGTTGCTAGGGACTGTCTTTGTCTCCTCAGTCAGGTCCTTTTCTTGCCAAAACAACTTTATCATACAATTATAACCATCTACATCTTCTGGGAAAAGTGGAGCCGGGGCTGTATACAAAGTGGGACGTGCAGTGGAGCACACAACACAATCGTCAAAGCCAGCAGCCGCTGACATGTGTTCCACGGTCCACAACCAAGCGTTTCTATCCCCATATCCAGTTGCTTGTTTTAACAATTCAGAAACAGTCCAGTCAGCAGTCACCTGTACGTTCTGTTTGTCTTGCCATACTTCACTATCTATGGCCTCCTTGTCTAGCTCCTTGTCCTCGGGTAGGGCAATTGAAATCCATTGTCTAATGTCTCCTGGATAATGTCCAATAACGTAAGTCCCATTCACATCAATCCCACAATTTTTCACAGTGACTAGCACCGTTGTTTGTGAGTGGTCTGTAGTCAGAATCACTCGTCCCTTCAATCTGTGTTCATTATTATAACCCCAATCAGGACCTGTATTGGATATAACATACTCCCAAGCATCACAGGTGCAGTCCACCGATGCTCTAAAGCTTTTTCCATGTCTCTCATATTTACATGTTGACGGTGTGTAACACAGGTAGAGTGTGTAGTCAGGTCGAAAGGATAAGGGAAAGATTGTTGCCATTGGTATGTGGGCTGTAATTGTCGCACCCACCGGGCATTTTACTGTCACAACCGTAGGTAGAGAGTCTCTAACGCTGCCTTCTCCTATGGATCTTTTATTTCTGTCAGTCTTATTGGACCAAAGACTGGATTGTGTTACAAGTCTGGCCCTGTCTCTTAGCTGTGTGTTTTCTAACACTTCCCATGTTAAAATTCCCAGGACCACGACCAAACCAACTGCAGCGATAGCCCATAGGATGGCTCTCCCTCTTTTGGTCGTGGGCCAGGGCTCCCTGTCCCAAGGCAACATATTAAGAGCGAGTGTAAGCGTGTGTGAGTCACTGTCCAACCCGTGAGCGTGGTTACGAGGGTGGGTCAGATGGTCTCGTATGAGAGAGATGAAACCACTTGTTCCCGTGTCCCTTCAGTTGAACAGCTTTGCGAGTGCGGGCCACCACTTCAAAGGGTCCGGTCCAGCGGGGCTCGTTCCACTTCCTTTTGAACACCTTCACACGGACCCAGGCAGGTGGATCCTCCGAGGCCTCCTTCTCGCAGAGGTCGAGACTTCCTTCAACCTGTTGGGAAAAACTA